GGCCTCCTCTTAGGTCTCCCATTCCCCTCCCTCGCACCTACATGGCAACACCAGGAGGCCAGTGCCTGCCCTTGCCCCACCCCAGCTTCCCATCCAAACAGAAGAGGGAGCCCCTTTCCCCAAACTCAGCTCCTGAGGTCTCACACATGTAGCCCTCGGAGAAGCAGAGCCGGGTCCCATTCATTGGCTGTCCTCCTGACACACGCAGGTCTCTGTCTGAGTCGCAGTTTCCTCCCATTTTTCATCCTGCTCACACGGCCCCACCCAGACCCCACCCTGACCCTCAGAGTCCACTCCAGCTGCCTGGCCACCTGGTATCCTCCCCTCTTTTCTCCTGCCTCCCATCAGAACTGCCAAGGAAAGTTGATGCTTCAAAGAATCTGCCAGATGAAGCCCCTGGTTCCGTTTTTACAATGCAGTTGAGGAGGAGTCTAGCTTTGTGACTTAACACTGCACAGTGCTGGAGAACTTAATGCACATGCAGATGGTCCTGAGAGGCCAAAGGGCCCTGAGATTCGCTGCAAGGTAATTTTCAGGCACTCCGAAGTCTTAGAAAGAAAGGAAAGTATGTTTCATTTGTAAGGGTCACTTTTAAAAGGTTCACAAGAATTCAACCACCCTCAGGCCGCGGCAGGGTGCTTAGTGACGTCTGAGGGACTCCCCGAGTTCATCAGACCGGGGGCGGTGAACTGCTTCACTGGATTCACAAACATGTGATCTTCACACTCAACTTACAGTAAGCAGGTTTTGAAGGCGGTGACTTTAATCGACTCTAAGTGAAAACTTAAATCCCATCCCTGAATACTCTTCTCTGTGAGTAGAAGCCCCACGGGCAAAACAGAATGCCGAAGGAAGGAAGCCCCCAAACCCCAAATATACACCCAAGAAGCGCCAGTCCAGCACAGCCTTGGACCCTCACCCCACGGGGCCCACGGACCTTGCTGGCTGACACTTGCTTCATCCACTCGATAGGCTCCTTGGGAATTTGCTAAAACCTGGGAGAAGTCACCACAATCTTGTGTCAGGGTGGGCAGCCCCTCAAGCTAGCCATGGTGACACTGAGGGCCTTGAGCATCAGGTGAAATGGGTGAGGCTGGATGGTGGGACATGGACGGCGTGACCTGGTGGCTCAGGGTCCACACTCCCTGCCGGCCTTACATGCAGCTGGAAGGCAGAGGAGGCAGCACCAGGACCCATTGCAGCCAGGAGGGCTGGGTTCCTGTGACTCTAGGTAGAGGCTATCTTTGCTGATCCTTCCTTCCTCCTGCCAGGGTTGGGTCCCTCAATAAGCAGAGCCCTCCTCCCTACTCTCCTTCAGGGATCCTCCTCCTCCCTCCTCCCTCCTCTCCTCCAGGGCTCCTCCTCCTCCCTCTTCCCTACTCTCCTCTAAGGCTCCTCCTCCCTCCTCTCCTCTCCTCTAAGGCTCCTCCTCCTTCCTCCTCCCTCCTCTCCTCCAGGGCTCCTCCTCCTCCCTCCTCTCCTCTAAGGCTCCTCCTCCTCCCTCCTCCCTCCTCTCCTTTAGAACTCCTCCCTCCTCTCCTCTAGGGCTCTTTCTCCACCCTCCTACCTCCTTCCTCCTCTCCTCCAGGGCTCCTCCTCCTTCCTCCTCCCTCCTCCCTCCTCTCCTTGAGGGCTCCTCCTCCTCCCTCCTCTCCTTTAGGGCTCCCCCTCCACCCTCCTCCCAGGTCTTCTATTCTGTCCCACTGGAGTTTTGAACTTGATGGGCCATGGCTCTTCAGGGTTGGGAATAAGAGGCTGTTGGTCTTTTGCCCTTATTCTTCTCTCAAATGCATGCTGGTCATTGGGCAGCCTTTACCTTCCACGTGAATTCCAGGATCAGCCTGTCAGTGTCTGTAAGAAGGACTGCTGGGGTTTGGATCAGGGCTGTGTTGGCTTCATGGATGGCTTTGGGGAAATGCGACATTTTAACATCATGAATCCTGCAGCCCATGAACATGGTATATCTATTTAGTCCTTTGAAAGTTCTCCCAGCAATGTTTTCCTTGTACAGATATTCCACATTTTTGGGACTAGATTTATTCCATGTGGCTCTAGTTTTGAATCCTACCACAAAGGGCATTTTTAAGAAGTCCAGTTCCTGTGCAGCCAACACCTGGAGAGATAGCTGACTCCACACTGGACCACACTTCTGCCCCATCTTTCATCTGCCTGACCTTCCTCCTGCTCTCCAAGTTGGAAAGTCAGGCTCTTCATGCCGTTGGCCTCTGCTCTTTCCTGTTGGCTAGGAGAGGTGACCTTCATGTGCCCTGTATGTGGCCATGGAAGATTTTCAGGGAGGCAGCTTCCACCCCAATCCTCTGTACTCAGTGGGCTCCCTATTGGCCTCCTCAACTCTGCTTACCGTCCACTTTCTACACAGTGGCCCAGGCATCCCTTTTAACTAACCCTCAGGTCAGTCCCTGGCTTGCAACCCTCCAGGTCTCCCCACTGCGATTAGAATGGAGTCCAAGTCACGCCTGGGCTGCCCACTGAGGAGGATCCAGCCCCGCCCACGTCTTTGCTCTTCTCCTTCCTTTTCCTCATCCTGCCTTGCTGGTCCTATTTCTTGGATACCAGGGGAAGACCACCCATGACCACTCTGCCCTCAACAGGAGCTCCCCTCAACCCCAGGCCCCACAGCCTCTGGACCTCTGCTCTCAGTCAGCAGAGGGGGGGTGCTTCTGGGCTGAAGGTCAGCAGGTGCATGGGGAGCTGACTACAGGCTCAAGGTCAGAGGGCTGAAGGTCAGCAGGCACATGGGAGCTGCTGCTGCAGAACAAACAGCCCCACTCGCCACACAAAATGACTACTTGCACCAGGATCCTGGGTTCCATGGTGACATGTGGGAAAAGGGCACAGTGGGGGCACCTCTTCTTGCTCCACAATGCTTGGCCTGCGGGAGGACAGGGGCTGGAATCTGGAAGGTGCTTCCATCCTTTGGCTGGCTGGGGCCTTGGGACTGGAGAGCCCATGTCACTCCCTGTTCTCTACAGACAGCATGGGCTCCAGGCCTTGTGTCCACTGTACTTGGAAGCTGACCAGACCTGACCTCTGGAGGGAGGACTGTCCATGCCACAGGACATATGTGAATGACAGCTGCCCTGGGAAGTGCCATCTGCTGTGACTTGCAGTGGAAAACCCGGTGGTCTCCATGGCTGGCGCATTCCCTGGAGGAGCCAGAAGGAGCAGCCGGCTCCGGGTCAGTGACCCTGGTATAGGTTAGCAAGCTCCAGCTCACGGTGCACCAGGGCCCTGAGGCCCAGGGGATCAGCTCCCCTCCCGTCTGTCCATGCATCCACTCAGCCTGGCAGGGGGAGCTTACTTCTCTGCCCCCCTTTCCTCTTGTGCTGGTGGGTGGTGTTTGCAGGCCCGGCCACTGAATCTGTTCAGCCTCCCTTTGTTATAGACCCTTCTCCACACATTCCACGGTGCTACCCATGTCAGAGGCTCCACCCACGGTGGGGGGACTCAGGGACTGCTCTCTGTGGCACTGGAGGCCTCTCTCTCTGCCTCTCTCTCAGGCTCAGCGAGCTGGGACAGGGCTGTCCCCATGACTCAGGCGCTCCAGTCTCTGGGCTGGGGAGAGGCCAGCAACGTCCATCATCCTGGCTGCCCTGCTCCTGCTGGAGGGACTGTGGTGTGGCCCTGGGTCCTCGGGGAAGGTCTGAGCTCCAGCATCCCCAGGCCCAGGCCAGCCAAGGACCAGACTCACAGGGCTTCTCCGGGGACATCCTTGGCACTAGCCGCAGCTGGCACACCTTCCCTGGGCAGAGCCTGGAGGCCCTGGGGCATTCCACAGGGACTTGTGGCAGATTCTGGCCCATCCTCCTCGGTGTCCCTCTAGGGTGCTGCTGCTCCCCGCTCCCATCTAGGGAACCGCAGGTGGTCTCGAGGTTCAGGACCTCCAGGGCCGGGGGTCTTGTGCACACCCCCTCCTGGTCTCCCCATTTCAGAACTGCTCAGGTCCAGCTCAGAGCAGCTGCCTTGGATGCCCTTCCCCTGGCAAATGCCACTGGCCTCCTGCCCAGGAATGCAAGGCTTCAGGATCTGTCCTCTGCCTCCTCCCTGAGGCCAGCCTCCCTCCCTGATTCTTCTCTCTGCTGCCCTCGGGCCCCAGGCCTATCTCCCCCCCGCCACCCAGGGTCCCTGCCTGGAGCTCCTCAGGCCCATCCTCTGGAGCAGAGGTCAGGAGCCTCTCAGTCAGACCCACGGCCTCCACACCAGCCTGTGCCTCCCTAGGTCTCAGTGCCTGCCACTCCCTCTGCAGCTCACCAGCTGCCTCTGAGCCAGGCCTCCCCTGACCCCTGCCCCTCGTTTCCTCTGCCTCCCCCCTGGCCGCACAGCCTTCCTCCTTATCCCCTGGAAGTCCAGCAGGGAAAGCAGGTCCCACCCTCTGTTCTCTGTTACCTGCTGTGGGCCCAGGACAGGTGCCTGCCCAGCCACAGGGCAGGCTCCAGGTGGGGCTGCACCCACACCCAGCTCCTCAGGGGTTGAGCAACTGGACCCTGGAAGTCGACCTGAGATACCTCAGATACCTCGCTGGACCCCGGCCCAGGCCCCGCCCCTGCCCTACCCAGGCACCGCCCCCTGCTCCGCCCCCGCCCTACCCAGGCCCCGCCCCGCCCTCGCCCAGCCCTGCCCGCGCAGCCAGCGGCTCCCCGAGGCTGCACCACCAGAGGCTTCAGGCAAGTCTTCCTTCCGCTCCTGGTCTCCGCCCCCAGAGGCCGGCACAGGGCTGATTGAGGACGGGTTTCCTTGCGGCTGCGCCTGGCTCTGAGCCGGGCCAGCTCTTCACCACCCTCCTCAATTCTCGGCCAAGGCTCTGCGAACAGCTTGCGAACCAGATCCTCGGCATCGTCTTCTGCTACCGTGTGCACAGGCCAAACCCTGGCTCTTTCTAGAAGGACTCGCAGTCGGACACCCTGGCCGCCACTGAGTCCCCGTCCCCCACCAGGCCGCAGGCCATGCCTCGCGAAGCCCCGCGCCCGACGCCCACTCACCCTCATCCCCAGCTCGATGTTCTCCGCACCGTACACCTCCATGCCCGGGTCCAGCAGGCCGATGTCCCCGAAGTACTCGCGGTCCACCACGAAGGAGCAGCCGATCATGGCGGGGGTCCTGCAGATGCAATCAGCTATAAGCAGGCCCCTGGCTGGGCCAGCAGCCCCAGAGCCTGCCTTGGCCGCCTTTCATAGGGCTCTTGCACCCTGAGGCGGGAGGTGGGAGGGTGACTCCTTGCATCCCCCAGAGCCAGCGGCGCACCCAGCACAGAGCAGAGCGTAAATGTCCCTGCTGTAACTTCAACAGGTGAAAAGACCAGAGTCAGGGGATTGAAGAATACTCCACGTCCCCAGTGAGTTGTGCTGTCATCTTGAACACCCAGAGCAAGTCGCCCCACCTGCTGTGGTGGCTCATGTTATCTGAGTGTAGGTATTTGGCACTGCAGCGGGACGTTGTGTCCTCTGGGCACTGCTCAACTTCATGGACCCTGGCTGATATCAGACTCTGAGCGACACCCCTTGGAGTTGTGGAGGGGACACAGCTCTAGGCAACAGACTCACTGACCACTGCTGTTATTTCTGTAATAATTCATCTTACATCCATATATTTACATCCATATGTTTACATCCATATATTTTAGAAGTGGCAGCGACCTAGCCTGGGGCCACATCAGTGGATGTGCTGCTAGAAGGGCAGCAGTGACCCCTGTGCCCGGTTCCCGATGCTGGGGTGTCCAAGGCTGCTCCTCAGGACACTGAAGCCCAGGCTGCTGGAGCCTCCCTGTGCCTCTGGAGGCACGGAGTCTGTCCCACAGAGCAGTGACCACTGGCCTTGGTCAGAACCTCGGAGAAGTGACTCCTCTCATCCGCTGTGAAGTCGGAGCTGACGTCTGTATGGGCTGCTGTCTGAGGCAGCAGGACATTTCACAGCGCCTGTCTTTTTACTTGGGCATGGCCCAGGAGCAGGGCCCATCCTCCGCCAGTGCCCGCAGTCCCAGGATGGTGGCTAATGGCTGCGGTGCAGCGTCCCAGCCTCTTCTGGAGGCAGTGATTTTATTCCTGCTCAGAGTTGCAGAGTTAACTGAGCTCACCAGGCAGCAGGGGCCGAAGCAGCCGGCACCGGGTTTATGTGTATGAGAAATTCTCACTGTGATTACAGAAAACAGCAGGGCCGACTCTGTGAGGGGTTCTAAGGTTGGGGGTCCCCAGGTAGGGGGTCCCTGGTCTTTACAGGACACCCTCTCCTCTAGGCCGCTCCATGGCATTCAGGGAGACGGCAGGACACAGCTGTGGCCCCCGGGTCCTGGCTGGTTCAGCTGCTTGCCTGACCCTCGGCCCCCGGCCTCCAGCTACTGTCCTCTGACAAGCCTCCAGGCTCAGCCAGACCCCTGTTGTTTCAACGTTGAATGTAGAATCAACCCAGCTGCCCATCGATGGGTGATGGATGAACCAGCAGTGCTTTGTCCATACAATGGAGTATAAAAAATGGGCCTTCCCACCAAGAATCAGGCAAAGCCAAGGAGCCACCAGTACAGAAACAGAGTTTGAGTGGCCACCTTGATTTCCTGGATCAAGCCGTGTCTGAGTGCCACTTGAATCCCTCATTTTGAGCAGTTGGTTTGAATCCGGTGTCTGCCTCACCTTTGCTGGCCATGGGGGATGCAGAGCTGGACATCAGTGTTAACTTCTCCCTGGTGCCATGTCTTAGGCCTCACCTGCAGTTCCTGGGCATGGGGCTAGTTTGTCTTCTCTGCCCTCCTGCAGGCCTCCTGAGCACACCTGTGTACACCTACAGGGGACCTGCCAGATGTCAGCCAGTGCCCAGTATTGGGTACGGCCAGATGGGCTCACTTTCTGCCTCATCTTGTGCCCTCTGACCTGCCAGAGGCTGAGCACTTGGCGCTTTTGGGGAGGCGAGGTCTTCTGCCCACTCAGCCACGCAGGCCACTGTGCCAGGTGGGCACAAGTGAGACTCACGGTGGAGGTGGAGCTGCTGGTCTGGGAGGAGGGCCCTTGGGATGCTGTCAGGGGACTGCAGGTTTGCAGCTTGAGCCCAGGGGGCCTGGTCACACGCACCAGCGGGAAGCTATGTCCACTGCAGGGTGCGGTTGTGGCCAGCAGAGCAGAGGCCCTGGTCTGCATCTTCCAGCTCGGGGGCCCCAGCCGTCAACCCAGCACAGTGTGACGTCAGCGGCATGGGCAGGCTGTGTGCACAGGTGTGTTTGTGCACTCGGGGCCACACACAGGGAGCAGTGGGAGCCACCCCTTCGCGCCCTTCGACATGACCTGGTTCCTGACCTGTGAATTCTGCAGCTGCTGCCCTTAGAGGGGTGAAGGAAGAGCTGGGGTCACAACAGTTAAGCCAGGGGGCAAGAGGCCAGCAGATGGACGGGTGCTGGGCGGGAGCTGGGGTTGGGACTGGCTGGGGCTGACCCTGGACACCATGTTGCAGGCCTCTGTCCAGGGAGAATCCTTGTGACAGTTTCTGTGTGTCTCTCGGGTAGGGCTGGCCTTGGCCTCTGGGGTTTGCTCCTCCAGCCTTGAGCTCCTGCCCCAAGAGCCCATCCCTGCAGTCGCTTGGGGGGCCCACTTCATCTCCTGAGGGACAGGTGCTGGCTAGACACAGAGGCAAGTCAGGGTCCTGACCCCAAAGGCCACCTCAGACTGGAGCTGGAGGGAGGGGCTGGGGTCCCGACGCCTTGGGGAACTGTCCTGGGGTCTCAGGTTTGCAGTTGTGCCACAGGCCAGCCTGGGCCCTGAGCGATGCTTCCTGCTTCATGCTCCATGGACAGCCCAGCAGGGCCTGAACTCGGCCGGCCAGCATCTGCATCGTGAGGCAGCCACCCCAGGAGCAAGCCCAGGCAGGCCCAGCCTCCACCCAGGACTCCCGGGCGAGCCCTGCTCCTCCCCACGGGAAGGGAAGGCTGGCCCTCCTGCCTGTGCTCAGGGGTGCATAGCCCCCAAGGCCAAGTCTGGGTTCCTCCTGTTTCTCCTTGTGCACGGCGCAGGGAGGCAGCCCGTAGATCTTCAGTGTCGCTTCTGCTGGCCTTCAGGGACAGTGGGAACTTAGCCGTCCTCATAGGCTCATCCAGCACTGGCCTGGGAGCAGGTCCACCTGGCTGGTTCCTCGCAGCCCTTAGGGGAGGCATCCTGGGGGGGTGCCAAAGGGTCTTTCTGGGTAACTGGGCCCGTGGTCATGTTGAAGGATGAGCCAGGCCAGAGATGCTGGGGATGGCCATTCCCAGAGCACCAGAGCCACGTGGGTGACCGGAGCTCTTTCCTCTGGAGGCTGTGACTTGCTTCTGGCCGAGGCTGCTTGGCCGCCCCGGCTAGGCCTGCAGGCCCCACTCCTAATGGAGACCCGAGCCTTCCCCAAGTGAGGCTCGTGGCATATCCCTCCCTGGGCCTGGCCTGGCCCACTCCTCTCTCCACCACCTCTCCATGTCGTCCACCCTCAGGAGACACCAGGTGTGCATCAGAGTCAATAGACACCCTGTGAAGTGTCAAGGGTCGGTGCAGGTGACCAGGGCCACCGGAGCCTCGGTGGGATGGACAGAGCTGCGGAAGTCCCAGCTCTAAGTGAGGCCGGTATGGCTCTGGTCCGGCATGTCCACCAGCAAGGTCCAGGGTCCTGGGGATCCTCGCTCTCCCCTGTGCTGCACAGACCCCCAGGACAGCTCTTGGGGGAACCCAGAGGGGCGGCAGCACAGGGGGGCTGCTGGATGGTCCCTGTCAGTGGGCAATGGACAGTGTTTCCAGCATGAAGCCAGTGATGTCTGACCGGGCCCACCTTGTCATGGCCCTTGGGATCTCTTCCACTGAGGCCCTCATGAATGATCAGCTGTGGCCGTCCCTGAACAAGCTCCTTGGGAGCTGTTTTCTCTGGACAGGGCAGACCGGCTCCCCACAGGAGTGTGTGGCTCTGTTGAGATGCCGCTGCCCTCCCAGTGCTGCCCAGAGGCCGAGCCTCTCGGGCCCTGGCCCTCAGCACAGCTGGGCAGGTAGTGGCTCTGGGCAGGGCACAGCTTGCCTTCCCAGGACTGCTGTGTCAGTGTCCTTCCGGGAGCCATGGCAGAGAGCCCACCTTCTTGGGGCCAGGTTTCCCTGTTCTCTGGTTGGCTGCATCCTTGGGGTTTAAGGGCTCCCCAGGTGACGCGAATGAGACCAGTTTGGGACCTGCTGCTGCCCAGGACTGGGAGTTGGGTCCCCTGCATTAAACTGGTTTATAAAATTGAACACAAGATGTTTGTCTTGCTGCTAAGGAGGATTGTCAAGTGTGTCTTGGGAGAGAAAAAGCACCCTCAAGCTGCCACCCTGCTCCAGGGAGTCCCCAGGGTCCCCAGGTGCATTTATGCTGGGATCAAGCTCTGCCATGAGCTGCCCCGGCTAGCAGCTGCCCCTGTGGCTCTCCCGGAGGACCAGCTCCCAAGGGTGGAGCCGTGGGGGGCCCTGGGCACTTGCTCCAGCCCCGGAGCCTCCTTAGTCCTGCTCTTTGGAGCACCTTCCTCCACAGTGGAAGTGGTTTTCCCCTCGTTGGGACATGAAGTGTGGCTCAGCCTGGTTGGATCATCTCCCAACGCCCGACCCCCTGAGCATCGGGGTGCCCTTTGGCAGCTCTTGGTTGATGGAGGGTGGATGCCCTCCAGGCCTGAGGAGATTGGCTTGGGCTTCCCATCATCTGCAGGCCAGAATATCCCCATCAGACAGCCCCTGCAAGACCCTCCTATGTGAGGACGGTGTCAGGTGCCACTCATGGCAAAGTGGCCTGGGTCAGCAGGGACAGGGGAGGTAGGGGTCCTGGCCACCCCCTGAGATCCTAGCCCCAGGGGAGGCCTGGCAAGGTGAGCAGAGACTGACTGGGCGCAGTGGGGTCCACAGGTCCACAGGCTACAGGTGAGCACGGGCACCCTGATGGGTCCCCAGGAGGAGGAGGTGGGATGCACCACAGAGGGACAGGTCAGGAGGAGCGTGCCTTCTCCCCAGCAGCTGCTGTAACTGACCTGGTACAGGGAAGGGCTGGGTGTGTGCAACCCGTCCAGCTCCCTCTGCCCTGGGGGCCCGCCTGTCTGTGAGGTCCAGTCTGAAGGCCCATGTCTACACCAGACAGAGCCACAGCTTGGCAGGACCAGCCAGGGTGGGGGCTGCAGAAGCCACCTGGACCCCAAAACCCCTGTGGACAGCTGCCTCTCCATAGGGCCTAGGGGAGGCCTAGAGCAGCCTGACCCTGCCTCTGGGGAATGCTGGGTCGCGCACGCGGGTAGGGCTACAGTCCCGCTGCAGTCCAAGGAACCATGCAGATGAAACAGGTGTCCTGCAGGGCCATCTGCGGGGTCCCATTAAACAGTGGTCTGTCTTCAGCACACATCACCAACGCCCATGCCCACTGCTTCCTGTACTGCCCCGGGCCCTCGGTGGCCCTCCTCCTCCTCCCTCTGCCCCTCCCTCCTCCTCCCTCCCTCCCCCCCTCCCCCCCCCCCCCCCTCCCCTCCCTCCTCCTCCCCTCGGTTCCCCTCCCTCCCTGCTCCCTTCCTGCCCCACCTGGCTCTGCCCTGGCTCCTTAGGGTGGGTCTCCCCGCTGCTCACCTGATGGGTGCCGCCTCGTCCCCACGGTCCAGCCAGTCCTGGGGTGGGATGATGTACATGCACCAGAGCCCCCAGTTGTAGCCGTGGGCGGCGCTGGCGTACTGCTGCACCTCGAAGGTGCTGTACTTGATGTTGTCGATGGCTGGCAGGACGATGCGCCTCCGGTCCTCCCGGATGCGCAGGAGGGCAGGCTCGGCCCTGTGGGGGATGAGCCTGTGAGCCCTGGCCTGTCCTCGCCCCACCCATCGTCTTCCTGGGGCGACTCTAAATGGCTGTCCTGTCATCAGAGTGCTGTGGGCTCAGCCCCTCAACCTGGCCCACTCTTGCCTGCTCCCTGCACCTGTGGAAGGACCTCCCTTTGCACCGAGGCCCCGTACCTGCCATGCCTGCCCTAGACCCTGGACACACTCCTGATCCATGCCTCTTGCCACTCACTGAAGGGCCCCGAGCAGTGTGCAGTGCCCCACCTGCACGACAGGCCCTGTGGAGTGGGGAGGGGACGTCAGTGTCTTAGAAGGTGAGGGGCTTGGTGGAGTAGCAGGGGGGCGCAACTGGGAGCCATGGTTTTGAGTGGGTGTTCGGTGTGGGTGCTCTGGGCCACGATGGAGGAGTGGGAGTTGAGGGAGCGCCTCAGGGGCCCTGGCACCTACCTGCTGTGGCGGGGAGCCGGCCCAGGCTGGGCAGGAGAGGGCCAGCGGCAGGTGGTGAGGGCAGAGAGGAAAGGGCGGGAGGACACAGGCTGTCCAGCTGCTCACGGCCAACAGCTCCAGGGCAGGGGCAGCCTTCCCTGGGCCTCGCCGCCTGCCCACGAGGCCTGTGTCTGAGATCCCACTGTGCGGGAGCCACTGGCAGAGCAGCCTGGGGCACCCGTCAGCAGCCCCTGCCTGCTGAGCTGGGAGCTGCCCCTGGAGCTGGCCTGACTCGCTGCTGGTGGAGGCTGATGAGCTGCTGGCAGTTTTGGCAGTGGCTACCGGGGAGGGGGTACTTGGCAGGTGGTCACTGCAGGTCAGCAGTGGGAACTGGATCCCAGGTAAAGTGCCTGTTGGTGGGCTTCCTACAGGTGTGGCTGGATGCCCCTCATCATCCACACCAACATTTGAGGTCGTCACCACCTGCCCCTCCACCCCAGTGTGGGTCACTCAAGGGACCAGGGACACCATGCTGGGCTTCTCCAAGGTTCTGGGCAGGGCAAGCGGGCAGCTCCTGTCCCCACCAGTGCCCTGCCCACAGACCTGCACTCCTGCTGCTCTCAGGGGGATGGGACAGGACAGGCCCTGCCTCTCTGGTCCCAGGAGCCCTGGCCTGTGGGTGGGCGGAGGCCCCTAAAGCCGTCCTGACTCCCGCTAGCCAGCCACCTGACGTCCCCTCCAGCCCCCTCCTGCTCGCTCACAGAAACTGCTGCATGAGAAGCAGCTTGGGCCCTTTGACCTGAGATCTCCCATGAGGATGGGAACTTGCCCCCTCCTGTGCAGAGTGGCCAGGCCTCTAGGGCTCTCTGAGCACCTCTGGTGACTGTCCCGGGCCTGTGGACTACACGGCCATGCAGCAGCCTGGCCCTGGTCCTGGGTGTGCCTGTTCCTTATCTGAAGACCCCACGGGGATGCATACCATGTCCCCCAGCCCACAGAGTGACCAGTAGGCTCTTACCAGCCAGTGTTGAACTCCACATGGGCATCGAAGAAGCCGACCACAGGGGCCGTGGCCACCTTCCAGCCCTGCAGCCGTGCGCGGATCAGGCCTTCCCGCCGGCTGTTGCGGACGACCTTCACCAGGCCAGGGTACCTCCGGTGGACGTACTGGTCCAGGTTGAACTTGAGCTCCACTGTGGGAGAGAGATGCCTCAGAGCACTGCTCAGAAGGGCCAGGCCACCAGCCCACGGCTTGGCCCAACTGACGTCTCATGGATGTTCTCTGAAACCCCCAGGGGCTGGGGACCCCCAAGGAGCAGAACGGGTTGGTTCCAGGGAGAGCCGTGACTGAGAATCAAGGGCAGCCCAGAGGGAGGCAAGCTGGGGGTGGAAAGCAGACTCAACTGTTGAGCCGTAAGAAAGACCCGAGGGCTACAGGTGAGTGGACAGCAATGGCCCAGCCACACAGGAGCACTACACAGCTGTGAAGAGGGAGGAATGGGCCCAGTGCAGCCTGGACCAGCCCCAGCACAGTGTGCCTTAATATAAGCTGACCACTGGAGGACACATCCAGCATGAGTCCACTTACAGGAGGCCCAAGAGAAGCAAGTCCTAGGGGGACAGCAGGATGGGATAGCAGGACGGGACAGCAGGGGCTGGGGGTGGCGGGGCTGCAGTTTAGGAAGATGGAGAGTTCCCAAGGGGGGTAGCCACAGCTGCCCCAGCAGCACCCTCAAGATGGCCGGCTCTACATGCATTCTGCCACAGTTCATAAAAAAGGCACGAAGCACCACACGATGAGCTGGAGTGGCCCTGATTCCTGTGTCCTCGTGAGAAGAAGGGACACAGACCAGGGGAGCGGCAGATGAGTGTGGCCTGAGCACGAGCCACTCACCCTGGACTGTGGCTCCTGCCCCCCAAGGGAGGACCCTGCTGCCTGTCTGCCCACAGCGCCCACGGCTCCCTCACCATTGTCACTGTTGTCATCCACCAGGATGACCTCCTTCAGCAGCTGGGAGGGTGTGTGGTTGACCACGCTGTGCACGGAGCGCAGGATGACGGACAGCGCCTCGTTGACGAAGATGAAGACCACGGAGACCTGGGGCAGGTCGCCTGAGTAGGTCAGCTGTCTGCACCTGTGGGGCAGGTGGTTGGCGTGGGCAAGGCATCCTGGGCTCTTCGCACCCTACAGCCAGGGGACCAAGCATGACATCCCAGGGGCCACCCCTGAGCTGCGGCAGCTACTTCCTGCTGATGGTGTGGGTGACACTGAGCCCTTCTGCAGCCTGGGGACAGGAAGCCGAGGCCCCTCTACGCAGCCCTGCTGGGCCTGAGCCTCAGAGCCACTCAGGTCTTGAGCCAGACGGGCAGCGCTGACTGCAGAGTCACACGCCCAGTCAGGCCTGGCCCCCCGTGTGAAGAGAGGGCTGCAGGGGGCCTCAGAGTCCGCCTGACCTGGAGTCAGGAGGGACAGCGGAGGGCACCAGGGCCAGTCTGAGGAGGTGACGACACTGACGGAGCAGTGAGCCAAATCACAGGGGTGCTGGGGATAGCAGCACCCAGCCCACGGTGGGAAGTAAAGATAGGATGAGAGGGGAACAGAAGCAGGGCTGCCAGGTGACACAAGATGGAAGGAGTGTCAGGGGCGCTGGCCGCACAGCAGAGCCAGTGACCCAGACTCCAAAAAGTGCAGAGACTGTTGAGAAAGTTCAGCAGGTGCGTGCACACACACATGCATGTCATGTACACGCACACGCAGCACACATACACACATGCTTGTACATGCACATGCTCACGAGCATATCACACACACATACATGTACACACACACACACGAACACACCACACACATACATATACATGCACACCCACACACGATGCACACACACCACACGTGAACACACTTGCACCTGTCGCACACAGTGTGGACAAGGTGGCTTTGGATTTGAGAACTTAACACACGGGAAGAATGACCAGGGGAACACCTCCTCCAGGAACTGGAGGCAGCACAGCATGGGGACAGAGATGGGGACAGACACAGGGTGTGTGTGTGTGCACCTGGCCCTGCAGCAGCTGGGAAACACTGTTGAGAGAATGGTGACTCGGTGACAGGAAGGGCAGCACAGCCTCCTGGTGGAGAGCAAAGGCTGGGACACAGGAGCCCGGGCACGGGAGGCCTCCCAAGGCTGCGGCTGCTCTGACGCCCACAGAGCACTGGGGATGGGATCGTGTGCGCAGCACCGAGGCTTAGCAGCCCTCTCCAAGGCACGCGGGGCCTCTGCGTCCACCTCCTCACAGGACACTGGCCACGCTGGGCCTGGCCCCCACCCTAAGTGATCCACCCACAGCAGCCTCAGCCTAAGGAGAGCACGTCCCGTCCTGGTGGCCGGGACATGGCTCAGTGCAGAAAGCAGGAGCACTTGCTCCACACGTGGGGAGGGACGGCCAGGGGTCGCCCAGCCTGGCTAGCAGCACAGGGGCCACACCTGCTCTGCATGGACCAGGCTTCCAATCCTCCTGGCCACCAGAGAGGCCCAAGACACCTGCTCCAAGGACAAGGATGCTCCCCAGCCCCACCCAGCAGCCTCTCCTCCAAGTGCAAACCCTGCAGGTCACCAGGCAGTGATATGGGCCGTGGACCCCCACCAGGGAGGTCTCATCACTCAGAAAAACGCTTTCTGACAAGAAGACTCCACCCCACTTTTCAGTGAGGAAGAAGTTTGCTCGGTTCTCATGCACTCACAGCACAGGTAGAACGGGAGACACCTCGAGGTGACACCTTAGGGCTGACGGCAGGAGCCGCTGCCTGCAGGAAAGGACCCTGCGAGCCCAGAGCCAACCCAGGGGGCTGCCGTGCACCCAGGGGCCACCGTGACAGGGGACACTGGGTGATGGGGGGCACCTGATGACTGGGGGACCTGGTGATGGGGGCACCGTATGATGGGGGCATCATGTGACAAGGGTTGGTCCCATGTGACAGGGCACCTGGTGATGAGGGTGCCTGTTGAAGGGGGTGCCTGGTGACGAGGGGGGCCTCTATGTGGCCACACATCTCTGTGCCTCACCTGGCGTCTCGTCTTGGCTTCCTGACCCAAGCCATCGCCTCCTGCCTGGGTCCCTCATTTGTGTGACGGGCAGGATCTCTTCCCAGATCAGATGTGTGCAAGGATGATGGCCACCCAGCAGGCCCAGCACTCCCCGCCCCATGAGGCCTCTCTGTCATGATCAGCCCTGGGTCTTGGCTGAGGGTGGACACAGCTGATTGACTCTCACTCCCTGCCCTCCTGGGCTGGGAGCTACAGGGCCTCCTGGGCGTGGCCCTGGGCATGAAGAACTGCCAGCCAGTGAGGATGAGCCATGGAGAGTGTGATGTGGTGCCCTGGAGCCCTCTGACCTCACAGGCTGGGGGGCAGGGGACCCTGCTTCTCGCCTGCAGGGCACCCACCAGCCACCTTGCCACTGAGAGGCTCGCTCTGCCCAGGAAATTCCCAGAACATGGAGCACCTCTTCTTCAAGGTCTGAGCGGCCCTCACCCCACAACAGGCTGCCTTCCCTGCAGGAAGCCATCTTGCTGCAAGACTTCTCCCAGGTTACTCAGACAGAGGCCTCTGTGCTCCTGGCTACTGGGGAAGAGCAGGGTGACGGGACCTTCCAGATGAACTCTCCCAGCCTGCCCAGGAGGGCATGGGTATGGATGCCCACAGACTGGCAAAGGCAGGTCTGCCGGCTTGGGCAAAGGGGTTTGCTGCTTGTCCACAGAAGTCTGGACTGTGTTTGGTCTCAGCCTGGCGTGGCCCGCAGCCCAAAGGCTACCTGCAGGATGCAGCCACACATGGGGCACATTTTCAAGGTGCCCAGTCCTCCTGGCCACCTATCGGAGCAGTCTGCTGTCATGATGAAGACCAGAAAGAGGAGAGGCATCTTCAGCAGCTTCCTTCTCCGAGTTGGTCACGAGGAGCCGTTCCCAGCCCTCGAAGTCACCCTCCACCAAACCTGCCCTTGCTAGGCTGATAGCGGAGCCCTGAGCCCCTCACAGCGGAAACGATCAATATGCCCCGAGACTACGTTGGCCACCAGAGTGTCCCCGCTGGGCCGCGCACGGTCCTAGGGCAGCTCCTTCCTTTCTGGCACAGCTTAATTGGGATTCACGCTTCCTCTCAGATCCCACGGGCCATCTGATAGCTGAGGCCACGTTATGTGCTTTGTGGCCTAATTAGAGCCGCGGTTTAATTAGAAAATCTCTCTAGCTGCAGACAAAGGGAAATCAAGTGGCGTCCACTAGGAAAGGTGCAGCGGCTGCCACTGAGCGGGTGGCGCTGCGGTGGGGACTAAGCGTGTGCGCAGGCACATGCGCCGTAGCCCCGGCCTGTGCTAGGTGGGCAGTTCTGACCAGCCGCGGAGGGAGCAAGGTCCTGAAATGAGATCTGAAGCTTCTGCAGGCAGGACTCAGTTTGTGCTGCTCCCCATGTCCCCTGCTGGGGCTTCTGCGCCAGGTGTAGCTACCGAGGCTACAGGTCAGAGCTGCTCCCACTCACCCCCACCTGGAGGTCCACGGCTTTCCTCCTGGGCCCAGCCTGGAGCTGGTGGCTCCACACCTGCTTCTGTGTATTCTGTCACGGTTTCTGAGGTCAGGACTTTGGGGCTGAGTCGGGGGATGCCTGTGGTTGTCAGGAGCAGGTAGCACAGGGCCGCAGGGCTGGGCAGCTGGGATGGCTCATGACTCCCTGTCTGTCCCGGGGCCAGTTCATATGTGCTCTCCTGTGCACTGGTCCCACTTCCTCACTGGGCGGTGGCTTTAGAGCCCTTGGGTAGCTCCCACGGCCGTTCTCTGGGGCCAAGCAGGGCAGAAGAAGCATGGCCTCTCCAGCTGACCCTGGGGGTCCTAGGCAACTTCCTGCCCGTTGCCTTCCCAGCTGTTTCCTCTGACCCCATGTCCACCCCGTCAGGGCTCCAGGGCGAGCACTTGAGGTCAGCAAAGAAGCACAGCAGTCCAGGGGCATGGCTCCAGGGGCACACTTTCTAACCCTCTGGCCCAAATTCACAGGCAGGAGGTGGGGCTCAGGGGGAGAGCACTTGCCTGGGACTCATGAGGCCCTGGGTTCGAGCCTCAGCACCACATAAAAATAAAAAAATAAAGGTATTATGTTAACTAAAACTAAAAACCAAACAAACTACTTGAAACAAAGCCTCCAGTAAAAGAACCAGGCACCAAAGATACCAGTTATTTGGGACTTAAAAATAGCCTGGTGTACAGCGCACAGTGGCCATGCCTATGAGCCCTGGCAGGGCACCGGGCTCCACCCACCCTGCCAGCTGTGGGTTGCCACCCACGCACCTGCTGGATCAGCAGTGGGAGGAAAGCTGTCACCTGGTGCACTAGGCCTGCAGGGCAGCAGCCTGACTTTTCCAGAAACTGGTTTCTACTGAAGGTCTGCTGGCCTCTGCCCCCAGCTCCGGTTCCCAGGGGAGCATGTGACCAATAGGTGAGCTCTGGTCCAGGCTGCTGGCTGTGATTGGTTCCCCGATGGGCACATGACCCAACATGGGCCAATGAGACTCTGGTCTGAGACTTCTGCTAGGTTGTTCCTCCCTCCTGCCCAGCCTGAGCTGGAGGCCAAGAGGTTCCACTGCGCTAGAGCTTGCCTGGGCTGGGCCAGCTCTTCTGTGGGTGGCAGCTGAAGCTCCTACTCTTCCCATCCTGCTGGGAACCTTACAGATTGGCTGCCTGGGCTGCTTCTTGCAGGATCCCTTCCCATCTGGCTTCTGCTGGGTGGGGTCCACAGGAGAAGAAACTCAAGGTGAGGGGTGTCAGGGACTTCTCGTCCCTCCCCACCTTCCCATGTCTTGAAAGTGATGTCTTCTTCCCCACAGAGCTCCCAGCTCTCATTGGGCCCCAGTAATGCTATTTCTGTGCTGTCCCTTAATGCCTTGGACAGACCAGCTTCTCCAAATTGCTGATCCCTGGCTGGTTCATGTCCCTTATGGTTTTCCCATCAGAAACATGTGCACATTCACATGTACACACACATGTACACACATGTGCACACACATGCACACACAGACACATGTACACACAGGCCAGCTGACGCATGGCGGGTCCTGGGCCACCTCTGTGACTGCTGCCACATTGGGCACCTCTGCATTCCTTCTTATTGAGCTTTTAAAAACTGTCCTGTTTTAAACTCAAGTACAGTTTTTACTCAAAAGAAATTTGTATCTCATCCCTTCACGGAGGCCAGCCTTGTCTGTGCTGACCAGGGGTGACCATGAGGTCAACACACTGACACCCAGTCACACCATTGTCCTCAAATGGCTGCAGTAGCTACGCCTCCACCTGGGCTCCACTCTCCCTTTCTGAGGGACTCCAGGGTGTGCATGGACCGTTCCCAGGTGGACCAGGACCAGGCACCTTCTCGGGCGTCACCCTCCACCCTGATGGCCTGCCCCCTCCCCACAAGCCCTGCATGAGAATCCTGGTCTCCAGGTCCAGGTGGAGGGAGTTCCTCAAAAAGGCAGGAAACGGACCCCTCCTCCTCATCTGCCTGTCCTTTGGCATTGCTCCAGGGGACAGGAAGGTCACCAAGCCTCCACCTGCCACTGAGTCCTGGTACCCAGGGCAGAGGGTTCCATCCTGCTAGGTTCTGCAGATGGGAGGAACGGCCTACCTGCCAGTGGCCTCCAGGCCTGGCTGGCATCCCCTTCCCAGGCACCCCAGCTTGGCCCCTCCAGGCAGCCTGTGTGGCTTTGCCACAGCTGTAAGGATTGAGGGCTGGTAGGACTCTGTCCTCAGGGATTTTCTGAGGCTGCTGTGGCTTCAGGGTGGTGGGACAAGGGGTCATCGCCCACTGAGGGCAGGCAGTGTCTCAGACAGGACACATGGGCTCACACCAGCGTGGCAGTGGCTGTGGCAAAGCCCCCAGAAGCCAGCGGGAGGAGCAGGCCAGGTGGGGCCAGGCAGGGGCCACAGACTGACCACAGGACCTCAGCCAGCACGGCCACCTCTCCACCCCGACTTCCATTCTGAGGGAGGGGTGTGGCCTGTGGCCGGGCAGGAAGAGGGTGGCCATGGCCAGAGAACTCCAGAGACAGAGGGAGACAGAGATCAAGAGAAAAGAGACAGAGAAGAACTGGAGGGAGAGACAGAGTGACAAGAAGGAGGAGGAGGCGAGGGTGGGGTGGCAGCAAGTGGCCCTGCAGGCCCCTCCCCCATGATGGCTCCTCAGCAGGGCAGCACATGGCCAGCTGGCTGGCCCTTGACACTCACTTTTTGGGCCTGTAGTCAGGGATGGTCCTGTCCAGGGAGATGCGGTCGCTGAGCTGGGCATTGTAGCCATACTCCTCGTACTTGCCTTCCCTCTCCTGGCTGTCCTCCTGCAGAGTGGCCGCCACACCTCCCTGACCCAGGCCACCCGGCCCCTCTACCAGGCCGATGGGTTTTGCAAGACCTGGAGGGGCACAGGGGAGGGTGGGTCAGGCAGAGTCCAAGGTGCCCCACAGACACCCACCTCCCCTCAGTCCCTCTCCATTCCCGATTCCAACGCCACCCCTTAGAAAAGACCGGACTGTGGTCAGGAAGAACAGGCCCACAGGAGCTAGGTGGGACAAGCAGGGGGCACCAGGTGTCAAGGGCAGCACCTCTGTGACACTGCAGGTGGCTGCAGGTCACCACCCACTGCGCTGAGCCTGCTGTAGTCAATTATCCTGCTCAGGTTGTTAAGCATGTATCAATATTGGCTTATCACATTAACATCAGAATCAATAATGGCACGGGGCACAGAGTCTGTGGACCTCTCAGAGGTACGTCAGACCAGCAACCATGTGTCAGTACCTCAGACCAATAACCAGTACTTCAGAGCAGCAATCATGCATCAGTACTTCACACGAGATCGGGTGCGTTTAGGGTGATATGGCCGTAGACTTGCATCAGTACTTTAGAGCAGCAACCATGTGTCAATAAGCTCAGACTATCAAGAGTATCAGTATGCTCAGATTAGTAACCATGTATCAATATGCTCACACTGGAACCATGCATTAATATACTCAGACTAGAAACTATGTATCAATATGCTCAGACTAGCAACCATGTGTCAATACCTCAGACCAGGTATCAATATGCTCACACTGGAACCATTCATCAATATGCTCAGACTAGCAACCATGTATCAATATGCTCAGACCAGCAACCATGTGTCAATACCTTAGACTAACAACCGTATATCAATGCTCAGGTCAGCAATGCTCAGTGTGGATATCAGATATTGGCTCAGGTTGTTAAGCATGTATCAATATTGGCTTATCACATTAACATCAGAATCAATAATGGCATGGGGCACAGAGTCTGTGGACCTCTCTGTACTCTGAGCTTATTTGGTCTATAAACCTGCAACTGTCTGAAAAGCAAAGACTAGTGTATTGATGTTAAAAAAAAAAAAAGAATTAACAATTACAAAGAACTGAGGTAATTGAACTTTCAAAAGCAAAGCAGCTGTTCTCCCAGCCCTGGACAGCATCAGTCCTACCATGCAAACTATTGCAAACCCATGCCTGTCAAGGGAGGCGACTGCTAAGGACGACAGAGACGTGTCATCGGGGAGAGAAGCCAGAAGCAGTGGACACTGACCACCAAAAATCAGGAGCACAGGAGCTGCTCTGCAGGTCCCTCAGGGACCAGGCTGACTAGGAATGATCAGGGACTCCTTGGTGACAGACTGGACATCATGGGTGAGAGGGGGCAGGGTGCCTGGGGACACCAGGTTGAAGAAAGATCTAGTCAGTCATTGGAGCCAGGAGGGGGGTCTCAGCTCAGAGCATGGCTCCTAAAGGGACCAGGGCAGTGTCCATAGGCAAGGGCAGCCCTTGCTCTTCCTTTTGGGAGATCTGGACAGCTACTTGGAGTGGGTGGTAGGGGGTGGAATGTAAGCCAGAAAAAAAGGCAGAGGGACCCTGAGCTGCCACCTGTCAGCTCCTGGAGAGGCCTCTGGTCTTCATCAGGCTGTGGACATGCAAATGCCCACCCTTCATCCTCCAGACCAGGCAGAATGTAGGGTCCAGCCCTGGGGAGGGACTGAAGGCACAGGAGCCTGGACCCTGCTTGTCCAGGGGGCTTCTCTGCTTAGACAGCTAGGGTGTCCCATCTTGTGCATCTCCGTGTTTCCAGGACATTCCACTTCAAATGGGGAAGCAGGGTGGAGGCTTACATAGGGGGGACACACACCGGGTGGGGACTGAAAGGTCAGGGTGCAGAGCGACTCCGTCTCTTATGTTCACTTAGCATTGCTACGTGATGGCCACGCTGTTAGAAAGTCTGTTCTCCACCTTGAAAAGTCTGCAAATGGGGCTCCCAGGGCACGGGTGTCACCACAGAGCCAGTCTCCCTGCCTGGCCAGAGGGGCCCGTCCAGCCTGGGGCTTCCTTTCCATTAAATGTGAAACATGCTGTGTTGAGATCCAGACATCCTGGAGGAACCCGCGGGGTGCCCCTCTGCCAGCCTCGCAGCCCGAGGACTTGGTTCCCCGGCTCTGGTGCTGTCTTCTTGCTCTGGGCACTGCACACAGGAAGCTCTGGGTCCAGCTCTCGCTAGCAGACAATTCCCTGGGCTCCTGGACATGAGAAATGAGCCCCGTCCACTGCCACCTCCGCCTGCACTGCCGCGTCCCAGCTTCCCTCAGCTGCTGTTATTTTTAGTTATGTGATGGTTGCCTTTGACTGTAGGAGGAATGCGGAGGCTCTGCTCTGGAGGCACCAACCTCTGCCCATTTCCCTGCCAGTGTGGACGTCCCCACCTGCCTGGCCTGCTGGCCACCAGTGCCTCATCCTCCAAGGTCATGGGTACAGCTGCAACTGCAACTACCACACCCAAGCTCCACAGGACTTGTCTACAGGTGGATGCTCAGATGAGAGGAGCCCAGCCTGGAGGGACCCCGAGGGGGATCGCAGCTCTGAACTGGTGAAGGGTGTCCAAGGTCAAAGCAGCAGTGACCACTCTTCAGATGCTCCACCATTCCCCAGAACCATGCCCTGTTTGGTCAGGTGGCTCCCCACTGCTGGCTTGCTCCTAACCTGGGCATGGGACAGTGGCGGCGGTGACTTCTGTACAGAGTGCACCCTCTGCACAGCCCCCTCCTTCACTCTCCACAGCACCCGACGGCAGGTAAGGAAACCCTGGCACAGAGAGGTCAAGCAACACACTCAACGTCACACAGTCTATGAGTGGCAGACCTGGCTCACACCCTGCTGGGCAGCCATCCAACCAAGGCTGCTGGGACACCAGGCAGGAGGGAGCCAGAGTTCGGGGGCTGTGCTCATGGTGGAGGCCTCTGTGAGTCAGACCTGCCTCAGCAAGTCCAGCAAGGACAGAACCACTGTCCCAGCTGCAAATCACTGTGCTCAGCCCCTTGAAAGATCCCTTGAAACTTCCTGCTGGTTTTCACTTCCAACTCCACCTGACCGACCCTGGGTCCTGCGCGCTGGTCATTCCACCCTCTCCCTCCCACCTCAGGTCCCACCCTATCAGTCCCAGCACCCCAGACCCGGCCTGGGCCATCTCACCCTCACCATACACTACCACTCACACTGTGCTGGGATCCGAGGACAGAGCCAGCAAGGACCGTCACTCCTAGTGGGCAGCCCGTTGTGGCCTCTCCCCAGACCCGGCTGCCTTGCAGGTGGGTATCTTCCTAAGGCTGGTGGAGACGTGGACTCTCACAGCACCACAGCTGAGCTGTTCTCAGCACTGGCCACCCTGGCGAGTCTGACAGCCACTCAGCCCATGCCCAAGGCCCCTGTACCCCTAGGGTCACCTTCTAGGAGGAAGCTCTTGCTGCCCCACTGGACAGATGAGAAACTGAGGTCCCCGCCCAGTGCCACAGCAGATGGCCAGTGCAGCTGCCCTCTACAGCAGGCATCTCAGAGGTCACCAGAGCCCATCCTGAAGGCCGAGGCGGTAACTTAATAACTGCTCCTGTGGTCACTGCCGGGTTGGGCAGGTAGGGCCCAGTATGAGAGGAGATGCCCCATGGAGGACAGTGTTGGAGGACCACTCTGGCCGTCAGATGCCTCATCCTGCCATAGATGGGAGCCATCCTGAGCATGCACTGTGTGGTTCGTGGGATTGACCTTTCTGGCACTGGCCACATGACTCATGTACCAGCTGGACACATCTCCAGGCAGGGAAAGGGGCTCCCGGCCTGGGCAGCCACCACAGCCCTGTCCTCCCAGTCAGGTGGGAGGCAGGGACAGTCGAAGTGCCAAAGCCAGTCAGTGCCAGGACCCACTGGCCAGCACTGGGATCCATAGGTCAACACTGGGACCAACTGGTCAGCACCAAGACCCATTGGCCAGCACCTACTTCTCATTGCTGGGATATACTGATCAGTGCTAGGACATACTGGTCAGCACTGGAGCCCACTTGTCAGCACTGGGGCCTACTGGTCAGCACCAGGACCTACTGCCAGCACCTACTGCTCATTGCTGGGACACACTGGTCAGCACTGGGGCCCACTGGTCATTGCTGGGACTCACTGGTCAGCACTGGGACTCACTGGTCAGCACTGGGGCCCACTGGTCAGCAATGGGACTCACTGGTCAGCACTGGGGCCCACTGGTCATTGCTGGGACTCACTGGTCAGCAATGGGACTCACTGGTCAGCACTGGAGCCCACTGGTCAGCACCAGGACCCCCTGGGAGCCTTACTGGTGTGTCCAGACAGAGTCCGAGCCCTGGTGAGAGCGCAGCCCTGCTCCTCCCTGGAGACCCTCATGTCTCTCAGAGGAGCCATCGCCCCCTGGCACCAAGGACCCCCCTGCAGCCCTGGTGACCCCTTCCCGGGGTGTGAGTGGCAGATGCCCGTGTTTGCTGGCCCTGTTCACTGCGGTGCCTCAGAGGGAGCCAGGGCATTGTGCGCTGTGTGGGGCTCAGCATGGAGAAGCCAGTTTTCCCTTTTGCCGGCTCCTTGATCTGTCCCCAGAATGTCCCCATGTTACCTCGTCCAAGGCTCAAGTGCATTCCACGTGATGACCTCTGACCCCCCGCATGGCGCCCATGCTCCTGTCCCTGTGAACTGACGGGGCCCGGCTCAGGCCACGTGCCCCAGTCAGAGCCGCTGGGTGGGAGCTTCTGGGGACCTGGGGCCGCCTTACTCAGGAGCCTGGGGGCTTCTTTTTGTGCCAGCAACATGTGCTATGGTTGTCACACAAGGTCTAGTTCTGAAGGAAAGTCACAAATGCCTGCAAAGTTGTGTTGACATACACAATCACCTGGGGTCTGGCTGTGGAGGACAGCCAGGGCAGCGTCACCCGGGGCCTCTGTGTGGGGGCAGCCCAGGCAGTGTCACATGGGGCCTCTGGATGGGGACAGCCAGGGCAGCATCATTTGGGCCTTCTGTGTGGGGACAGCCAGGGCAGTGTCACCTGAGGCCTCTGCATGGGGACAGCCAGGGCAGCGTCA